AAAGAAGAGTCATCTCAGAGGTGTGCTTCGCAATATACAGAGCCTTTTGGACCACTCACTCTTTCATAAAACCATGCAGATTCTATTGTCCCCATTTTGTCCAAGAGGAAATTGAGGCAAGAAAAACGAATTCTTCTCTAAACCATGGCTGCCCCATGGGGGAGTCAAGAGAGAAAGGAGACAATTAAGATTAATGTTTCCAAATTGAATATCCAGAAAGGATGGATACGAATTCCACTAGACAGGACAGAGTGCCTCTGCCTCCAACCCAGCGCACTGTGGTGCTGGGCATTTAACCCTGCACACTGCCCCCCACTCTTCTTGGCCTGACAAGAAGTGGACCAAGAGGAAAGGAAAAGCCCATTTTCTATCTGGAAAAGCACAAGGTGTTATGGATGTGTTTACTAGTTTAAAAAAAGATGTCAAGGGACCTCAGGGTGCTGGTGAGCACCTTCCTGGTTTAACTCTGCAGTGTCCTTTCCGCTTACCAAGGGCAGAGAGGTATGTCAGCTTGAAAAGAATTCACTTTCAGGTTAACTTATGCCATTCTAGTAGAGCACCTTCAGCTGTGCGGTGCTATGGCTACCCATGGGAACAAAGTGGGTCTCCCACCTCCTGCAGTTCCCAGAACTTAACAAGGAGCAGGCTCGCTCTTGGAGTTTCTGTTTGGAGGTGCCCTCTCTTTGTCCACAGGAAGAACCTTAAGGGAGTGAGGGAGAAACAAATCGCAAAAATGCAGAAGTGATCATCTGGCTCGAGAAGGCTGTGGTCCACCTCTTTTCCTGAGCAAATAACTTGGCCTCTTTGAGTCTCCTTTTCCCCTCATCTGCCAATGGGCCAACACCTACCACCCCGCTAGTTTGCTGTGGGGGGAAACAGAAATAAGGAAGGTCTCTGGCTCTGGTGGAAGTGGCATCCTTCCCCCTTCCCAAGCAGAGCCGCTCGCTCATACCCACGGGAGTCAGGGGCTCACACACTGCGTCAGCCCGGCTGCGGCCCATCCCCTCTCCTGACCTCACCTTGCAGGGGCTTGGGAAGCACTGCGGGGGGTCAACGATGCCCAGTCCTGACTGCAGCCAGGGGAAGGCAGAGGACCAAAGGCAGGATTTCCCGGTGATGGGCGTCCACTTGAATAGGGCGCACAGGGCCGCCCCGTCCTCGCACCCCATCTCACTCAGCCCGGTCTCACCTCTGGAGGAGCTGGGAAGCACCAAAACAAACATCCCTTAAAGGAATCGCCCACCATTGCAGGCTCCAAGAGAGCAAAAGGGAGAAGACCAAAACCAACCCATGTCCGCGGCGAGCCTTCCGCAGGGGCAGCGGCCGCCGCCTTCACACGCGCTTGGGGTGAGCGGGTGGAAGTGATTGCGCGGCTGCGCCACCCTCGCACGACCAAACTTTCCAAGCCGACCTCACGGTTGCCGCCCCACTCCGGGGCGCTCCCGGAGCAGGGAGAGAGAGTGCACTTGAACTCGGAGGCTGCGCGCCACGGGGGACCCGGGGGCGGCACTGGCCGGGCATCCAGCCCTGGGTTACCTGGGTCCTGAGGGTCACGGACGTCCAGTAGACAGGGTGCAGGGACGCGGCTCAGGCAAGAGGGAGGTGGGGCAGTCCTCCCGGGCCGCCGCGGGCCCCGGGACTAGTGGGAAGTGCACCTGGCGGGCGCCTCCCAGCGCGGTCCCCGCCCCAGCTCCTCGGGCGCGGGCAGGGCGGCCCCCGGGGAGGAGCCGAGGGCGGCGCGGGGCACCCTCCGGACGCCTGGTCGGCGCCTAGCTGCGTGCCACCGACCCCTGGCCTCGATCACCTTCTAAAGTTCTCCTTGCCCGAGTTTCAAGTGCTACCAAAACTCCTGCAGAGGCACGCGGGGGTCGCAAAGGCCCTCTGGCACCCTGGAACCCTGTGGGCCATACTCCACGCCCACTCCCGTCCCAATGGCTGAGGGAGGGCTGGGAGTCCAGAGGAAGAGCAGGGCCTCGGAACCTGCCCCTCAGAAAAATGCACGGGGTGGATGAAGCACAGGGAAGGTCAGAAAGCAACCGCAGCCCCACCCCACAAAGTCCTCTCCCCTGGTGGGAGAGGCTCCTGGGTGCTCCGGACTAGACACCTGCCTTCACTTCCTCCCTGCTCTCTCTGGAGTGCCCAGGGCCAGCGGTCCTTGCCAGTCCTCAGCCTTTCTCCCCTCAGGCTCTGTGTCCCAGGTCACAAGCTCCCAAACTGGAAGGTGCTGGGGCTGGCCCTCTGCCAGCCAGTGGTCACAGCGATAAGAAATGAAGGGACGCAGAGGACAAAGAAGAAACATTAGGCCCCGGGCTCAGACTCTGATTATGTGCAGGTGCTGAAGGAACAGGTTGCAGCTGCTTTCTGCGGGCCCACCCTACCCAAAGAACTCAGAAAACCCACCCTACGACAAAATTTCCAGACTCCAGGTGAGGGATCACTCACTTGGTCCTGCCCATTTTGGAAGGGGATCCCTTTGGCACTCTGCCCTGCACTGTTTGCAGATTGTGCAGCCAGAGGCAAGAGTACTGGACTGGGAGTCCAGATACCTGGGCTCTGGCCTCCATTCACACTGTGACCTTGGGCAAGACTCTGGCTCTGTTTCCTCATTCACAGTGAGTGGGCTGCAGTGTATTATCTCTGAGGCCCTGTTAATGGATCCTGAATCATGGCATTGGGCAACTTGCTTTACTAGGTTTGCTGTGGCTGTACAAAGCGTATGTGCTAGGCGGCATGTTGGTCCTCTCGGTTCTTAAAGGAAGAGTGACTGAGGCCATAGGGACCAGCTGCTCCACGTGGATGACTGGGCCCAGGGAGAGTGGAATTCAGCTCTATGCTGAATTAGGTGTGGCCGTCCACAAAATGGAGATGCATAATCCCTGACTTGTCTTCCCAAGGCTGTTGGGAAACTCAGTGAGACATGATATAGGAAGCCCTTTGAAGGGAGAAAGCAAGGGGGTGTATGCTTTTAGACACCATCTTTGATGCCCTGGACAAAGGCGTGAGGTGTCTTCTGGGAGGCAAAGCCTTTCCCTGACCTCATCGCCCTTCCTGCAGAAGATGTGAGGTGAACAGGTGCAGGCATGCACCCCACTGGTAGCCACGGTAAACGATGCCCAGTGCCTCACCTGGAGATCTTCACTGCTGGTGCACCTTTGTGTGCACCTTGGGGAAACTCAAGAGGGGAGACAAAGAGACTCCCAACTCCAGTGGAGGTGGCCAGTGGCTGACTGACCATTCATCAGCATGTGCTGGCTGAGCACTCCATGGGTGGGTACCATAGATGCCATGTCTGCTCTTAGCTTAAAGTCTAGCTGAATGATTAAACGTGACATGGAGCTGGGAGAGGGTGCTGCGGATGGCTCAGGAAGATCAGAGAGGAGCAGGGGAAGTGAGAGACCAGGGAAAGGGACTGAGACCACTTGGAGGGGAATTTGGAGAGTGCTGGGCTTAATTTACCCCACGTCATAGTGAGGAAGCAGAGGCCCAGAGTGGACATGTGTCCTGCCCATTTGTGGCAGAGTTGGAACTTGATTTGAGGACCTCAGAACTGTGCTGGCTTTGAGGCTCCTGTGCTAAGGAGGTCTGAGCCCTAAGAAGTAGGGGGACAGGGATGAGTGGGTAGGGAAGCTTCTAGCAGGAAGAAGAGACTGAACTGAGGTGCAGCACTGGGAACCTTGTGCAGCAGAGGAAGTTGCTGCAGTGACGTGACGTGCAGCATCTGGAAGGAGGGAGCCACACAGACCTGGAAGCCAGGCCAGAGCTGTATTCCTAGGAATGTATGGAGCCCACACCAGTTAGGGAGATTCCAGCACAAGACATCCCTGGAGAGATACACAGGTCCCCAAACACCTAATGAGACAGCAGGTGACCTGTCAGGAAGGCAGTTAGGTGACAGCGGAAGAGCACCAGGAGTCAGACAACCTGTATGTAGATGGCCTTGGCCAAGTTATTTCTCTTCTCTGACTCTCCGTTTCTTTATCTATGGCCTGGGGGGTCATAACCTCTTCCCTTTTAGGGTCACCGTGATGACCACAGAACACATTTGGAAGTGCTGCGTCCACGGCAGTGGGCAGAGCGAATGTAACCTGTGGAATTGTGCTGTTCTCCAGGGGCCTCAGGGGATGCTTGTGGAACTGACCCAGGCTGGACTGGGCACCTGTGTCTCACTGTGGCAAAGACCCTCACAAGGGGCTGGGGGAGGGGTGGATCTGCAATGGTCAGAGAGGCCCAGGGAGGGTGGGAAGGAAGGAGGGCGCCAGTCATGCACGTCAGTCTCCCTGACATCTTTACAACAGAACAACTCAGAAAGACCATTTTGGGGGAGCATACCCCCTCCCATCCAAGTGGCTAGGTGTCTCCCATCCCCAATTTGTGCGTTCAGGAGGCACCACCTCAGAAGTTCTTTGTTCATGTTCTTCAACGCCCCCAACATGCACCTAGTCTTTGGTGGGTTGAGCAGCTCCTCGGGTGGGGCCCAGATGGCCTGTCCTCCTGTGCTTGTTCCAAAGGCCTCATCTGACAGCAGGGACAGTGCAGAAGAGACCACTGTCCTGGCTTCATGCCAACACCCGGGTTCCTCACAGCGTTCTCAGCCTCTTGCACCCAACCCCAAGTCTACTTCCTCCTCTCTCCTCCTCCGCAATGAGACCATCAGAGCAGGGTCCTGCTTTCCAGGTAAGAACACGGAGGCCAGGAGAGGTGCCGGGACTCGCTGGGTTCTTGCCCCACAACATCAGATGGACTCACAGGCTGCCCGCTGACAGTGCTGTTGCCCCATTGCCTCACTGGGCTGCAGATGTCAGCCTGCCTCTTCTTCTTCTTCTTCTTCTTCTTCTTCTTCTTCTTCTTCTTCTTCTTCTTCTTCTTCTTC